GAGTTTACCGTGTAGTGGTGGTATAGAAGAATCTACTAGCACATATTATCCCGTGGGTGCCGTAACGACGACATAGGGAAACATTTGTTGCAGTTGCAAACTTTGCCTTGCATTTGGCAAGCGGATGGAGAATTATATCTTCTTTTATTGAAAAGAAATGATCATCAATGGGCACACAGTAAACTTGATGATAAGTGGGTGAATCGATTCGATTAAGAATCAAAATATAGGATGCGTTTTCGCCCCTGATTCATCATCATTCTTACTGTCCCTTACAGTCCACTGCTAAACATAGGCCTCCTCCAAACAATGCCATAAAGCACGATCCCGAATCTATCGACTTCCTACATGTCTTACCGGGTCATCACTCTTTCTAGAAGGCGGCTGCTCTACACTTCGCCTACATATATGTACGAGGCTGCCACTCTAGAACCTTGCGGTCGAAGAACCGCCGTTTGTCGGTTCTTCGAGCTATGGCCATATAGCTCTAATAACCGACAAACGCCATTGCCAGCTTACTAATCCGTTCGTCTATGTCGGTAACTCTGGTTTCACTGCGAATATAGTCATTTATAAGTTTATCACACAGATAAACCCCATGAGCATAGTTCTCTACATAGCTCGTTGAGAGACCTGGATCTTCCTCATACCCCTGGGTACAAGGTGAAATGCCCTGGGTACAAGTTTCCAGTAAAGAGGATCTCCAGTTCTTCACTCCGATATTTTATAAGAGCGCATTTGACATGTCGCCCGCAACTCATGCACGTCAAAATTTGGTGAAATCGAAACAGAACAAATATTCGATGATGCGGAATCTATTAGGGGGTAATCTGTGTAAAGAGGTTACTATGGAAATTAAAAATTGCCATTTTGTGACGTCCATCATATTAGATTTAGAATTACGTCACTTTACTTAATATATTTCTCTTATCAAGCCCTTTCATTTGATACCCAAATCATAGTGTTTGCTTTGTATTGTCAAGTGGGTAGTCGATGAATGCAGGTGATTCGAGACTAAACTTCGTGGGAATTTATAAGAAATATACGAAGGGGGCTTATATATTCAGCTGTGGACTCGTGGTGGTCTGTAATGATGATGATGAATATATTTAATATTAGTACGAAGAACAAACAAGCACAGTCCCCATAATCGTTATTGGACGAAGACTCATCGTATATCCCGTCTCTCACACACTCGTATGAAATACGACCGCATTATTATGCTATATTGACCTTGAAATTCTGGAAGAGTGTGTTCATTCTTATGTCAATCCAACCCATTAATACTGCGGCCTACCAACAATGAGAACGTTATTTTTCGACGTTGTTATTCTGCGAGCGTGTTATCCTAGGTCAATCCTAACCCATCGAAACCCATTCGTACTGTAGCCTACGAAAAACAAAAATTTCATTTTAAATTTAGCTGTAAAGAACCCGTTTTATTAACACGCTTTTATTAAGACGTACGATTGGCTTGAAAATTTGCACTCGTATCAAGGACCGATCACAATAAAATAATTTTATAATTTCATTCTTCTATCCTGATCAGGTTCACTAGTATAAAATAATTTTACTTTTAGTTTTTTTAACTATATTTTATTATTTGTACCTGTCACGTAGTTCAAAAATATTTGTCTTTATTATAGTGTTATACGTGAAAGCTAACACTATTTTTAATACCATTTACTTTGCGTTTTAACAGAGGAACTCGGCATCGAGACCTAAAGTATTTAGAGCTCCATAACATTATTGCTCTAAGTTTACACAAGATTGCATAACGTGGAAAGCCCGTTGCTGGTGCTTCAAATACTTTAATGCATTAGAGTTTGAAGTTTGACTTAAATACAAATTTCACAAACTAGACATAAATTAAATATTTAAAAAAGCAAAATGCATTCAGCATGAGCTGTGATCCTAGTGAAAATACCAGAATATAATTACCAAATACTAAATTATTGCATTATCATCGATGCTTATCACGAATGAAAAACTCCATATTATTCAGATTTCCTCAAAATTCCATTACATTCATCCATACATATATACTTGGTAATTTTTTACCATCTGCAGAAAGTAAAGTGTAACAGGTGAACGAAATAGAAGTCTATGGAACTGATATTTTACATTTTTTGTGTTACATTAACCTAATAAGAAATTTTAACAGTGGTAGAGCCACGCGGCAAGTTTTGCTGTTGCACGTATGGGCCGGCTCGAACCGCGGTGGCATTGAGGGGGAAGAAATGGTGTACACGTCAATAGAGTCTGTGGTCAACACAGATGACGTAATTACCCTGTCGAATTTCTTAATTCACTGAAACCATCGGGTCTTCTACATCATAAGCTTATTTTGCGCGTAGACACTCCTGTTATGTTGTTGCAAAATTTAAAACCTCCTCAAATGTGCAATGGAACCAGACTAAATGTAAAAGCGTTACATCGCAATGTAGTGGAAGCCACAATTATAACTGGATGTGCGCAAGGTGAAACTGCATTATACCAAGAATTCCCTTTGTCAGGAATGATCTTCCCTTTTAATTCAAACGAATACAATTTCCCCTCAAAGTCTGATTTGCAATTACCATAAAATCGTAAGGACATTAAAATTTACGGCAATAGACTTGAGAGATTTTTTTTCGAACGGGCAATTATATATCGTTTGCTCATGCGTAAGCTCGCCCAGTAGTCTGATAATTTTGTGCACACAGTAACAGATTAGCAAAAAATGTGGTGTTTAAAGAAGTTTTGTAGTTTACTAGCTTTTGCCTGTGATATCCATTTATAATTGTGTCTTGTACCAGCAGACTCTTTTTCACATATGGGCGCGATAGAACCGAACTCCAACCGGACGAAGTCGCGGGCAAAAGCTAGTTAAATATAATACTATTCGCGCTTGGCCATAAAACTCTACTTATATTTGTATACTTATATCTTAGATATTTTTATATATTGTGTATTAGATTAGTGTTTTGTATATTGTATATTAGATGCATGTTGACCCCGTTGAGATCTGGGTACATGTGAAGTAACATTTACAATAAGAAATCAGTTAAGCTACAGTTTACTCGAAATTCACAGGTGTTTTTTACATATTTCCACCGATCATCAATTTTCTTCTGAGAAAACCCTTTTAAACAAATAAAATAAAAACAAGACTGTATCGTATTCAATTTAAGCCAATTTATTTTAATGTAACCAATCTGTTTATAAAAGACCCGTTGTAGCTTACAGGTTAAGCGCTTTACGTGATTTTTAAAAAGGATATATATCTCATTCAATATATAAATATACATAAATTATAATAAATACAAAAATACATAAATAAATAAAAGCCCAACCAGTTGAAAGCCCTCGGCAGGGGAGACCAAACGGCCGAGGGTTAGGAGGAAAGGGAAAAAAACCGGCGGACGATGCGGGCAGTATCGAGGAGCACCGCCTTCTGCATTTGAGCACGGAGCGGTCCATCACGGAGTCCCAGTGGCCTCAGATGACCCAAGAAGCTGACTGGGATTAGCCCATTCGCAGAGACGACTACAGGAATAATTTCGGCCGGCATACCACCACACATGTCGGTCACCTCCTAAGCCAGGTCCAGATATGTTTTTCGTTTATCTGTTTCGGCTATCACGAGGTTCTCGTCATACGGAATGGTAATGTCAACCAAAAATATCCTTGACTGTGCCCGATCCATCAGCACAATATCAGGCTTATTCGCAAGAATAGTCCTGTCTGTGATGATGGCCCGATCCCAATAGACCCTGGCGCGATCATTTTCGAGCACGGATTCCGGCAAGTACTTGTATTACGGCAACTTCCGATCCACGAGATCGTATTTCAGAGACCGATAGTTATTGGTCTTAATAACCTGATCCTATATTGCACAGACAAAACCCTCGGTTTCCCCGAAGAGGTCACCGAAACGTAGCCAGTTGAGGGAGGCGGCTGTATCTACGTGGGGCTCATGTGGAGCCCTGTAGTACCTCCCGTGGAGCTCCTTCTCCTTTCATACGGTCTCCCGGTCGGAAATGCTCTGTAATGCCGGGTGCCATTGCTCGTTGGCTAAGGATAGAGGGGTAAGTCCTTTATCACTAGAAAAGACATCCTTATAAAATGGATCATCCGATCTCACCAGGAATTAATCACGGAGGCTGCACACTTCGCGATTATGCATGGTGAGCGCGCTCAGGAAGCCACGCCCACCATGTTTTCGCGGCAAGTAAAGCCTCATTACCGACAATCTCGGATGATGCATCCTATGGGACGTCATTGTAGTGCGGACTTTTCTATTCAGGGCGTTTAGTTCAGTCTGACTCCACCTGAATATGCCAAAGGTATACATGAGAACAGGCATGACCCAGCCGTTATATGTGTGTGTCTTATTCACACCGGACAAAAGGCTGTTAAGCACTTTGGTCAAGCGTGCATAAAACACGTCGCAAAGTGACTGTTTCATACCAGCCTCATAGATACCGATATTCTGTGACATGCCCAGGTATCGGTATGTTTCAGCCTCGGAAAGGGTCCTTAAGTTGACGGGCATAGATAAGTCTATGCTCTCAGATTTAGCAACTCTTCCCCTTTCAACATGGAGGACCGCACACTTATCCGTCCCCAGCTCCATTCTAATAGAATTGCTAAATTCACAAGTGATGTTTAGCAATTCCTTATGATGGGAGTGACTGGAGGCGAATAATTTGTGGTCATCCATATAGAAAAGGTGGGTCACTTTTGTACCTCCTTTACGAAGCTGAAAGCCCCTCCCGGAGCCCTCCAGTAAAATACTGAGAAGGCTCAAAGAGAGGCAAAACCAGATTGGACTCAGACAGTCGCCCTGGAATATACCCCTTCTTATCCTTATGCGGCTTTCTGCAGCCGTCAACCGCTCGCATAGATGACAGAGGATCGTACTCCACTGCCCCACACACTGCTCGAGGAAGTCTCCAACTGTACAGTCAATCTTATACACCTCGAGGACCCTCTTTAGCCATGTATGGGGCACCGAGTCAAATGCCTTTCTGTAATCTATCCAGGCGGCGGAAAAGTTCCGACGGTTGCGTTTCACCACTTTGGTCCATGGGCGTAATACCCGCACACTGATTCGCCACAACTTCCGTCCAAGGGCCGTCGTTGTGGTTTACAGGCTCTGACCACAGGCTGCACCAGAATGCGATCGTGTCGGCCTGATTCGGTACTGGGCCCGTTCCACTTACCATTGGACGCTCCAATGATTTATAGAGCCTCTTCTGATCACTCTGGAAGAAACGATTCTGATTGAACCGTGTCAACCTCTCGATATATCGCCGAATCCGCTTTCCCCAAGCAGCGATTCTCTGCTTCAGGTCATCTATGCGCTCCGTCAGTTTTTGCATTATATCCGGCTGGGACAAACTAACATTTGTGCCAGCAAACGCCATCCTGACGGTGCGCACAATCCTTTGCCTGGTATTGCCTGACTTGAAGCAAATCAGTCTGCCGATGGGGGCCCTAGCCTTTGCGATACGTTCTTCAATTCTTATTCTCCAGGCTGGGATAGCACTACTTTGTCCAATAGTGCGTCCAGCCGTGGAAAGTTTGGCGCCTATAATACGGCAGACTGCCAGTGCGGCGCCAAAGAGAATTGAGTCCGTCTCGCAAAGGTCCCGGCTGGCTTCCAAATAGGTCACCAGCATTGGGTTCAGAGCCCTCATAGATAGCCCGATTCCGCTTGCTGAGGGCTATGCGGGGAAGTCGCGGTCGATTTTCGAGAGGCGTACTGCGCGTTTTCAAAATCACCTCATCCAATGTAATCCTCATTTGCCCCAGTTATAGTTCCTGGGCGACTGTTCCATCACCGTTTGAATCAACCAAAACTGGGGTATTCACGGCGGCATCCACGTTTGCCGGTTGCTCTGCAAGTAGTGGCGCCGCATCCTCAGCCGTAACATTGTCATCCGATGAAAGAACAGCCTCACGTCGTAGCCGTTCGAGTTTGGTGACATCAAATGTATTGAAGCGCAAGATATACCGAACTCGTTCTGCCAGGTTTTGCTCGGTGACGGTTACAGATGGCTCCAGCTCAGAAAAAAATCGATGCATCCTTGCCCGATACGCAAAACCTCCAATTTCTCTCCCTTTCGCCTTAAATAATGCGTTGCTGTTCATTTGAGTTGTCCAACGCATGCGGCGTGCTTCACCAGTGGCGGGTGCCGATTGCTGGGCCCGCAAAAACCCTGCCGACACCAAGCCAGCTGGTGGGGATGATGGATGCAAGGGGCTGCTGGGTGGTTGTGCAGAGCACCTCGCACTCGTTGACTGGCGGTTCTCATGCTGTCGCGTCCAGCGCTAGCTCCAGACGCGCCCTGGCGTCCTCCACGCAGCATTCTAGTCAAATACATCATCCATGTTTGTGGGCGTCATTTAACGGGAGACGACCAGACCCGGCGCCGTTGCATGGTAGGCCGGAATGTGCAAAAGCGGGCCTTTGCACCTTCAATTTTTGCCGAGGCACGGCACTAACACCTCTTGGCAAGGTGCTGACTGACTGCGCTGAAGTAGCGGTTTTGTCACATAACCGTTACGTCAGCGGGCAATGGGGTCGTCATTTCCCTACGCCAAATTATTATTATTATTTGGAGTATCTATATAGTTTTCTCATCTGGTTGGGTTCTATAAATATATAATTATAAATGAAAATGAAAAGATAAATATACATAAATATCAATAACATAAAATAAATATAAAAGTACATAAATAAATAAAAGCCCAACCATATGGAGGCCCTCGGCAGGGGAGACCAAACGGCCGAGGGTTAGGGGGAAAGGGAAAGAAACCGGCGGACGCTGCGGGCGGTATCGAGGAGCACTGCCTTCTGCATTTGAACCTGGAGCGGTCCGCCACGTAGTTCCAGCCGCCTCAGATGACCCTAGAGGCTGACTGGGATTAGCCCGTTTGCAGAGACGACTACAGGAATAATTTCGGTCGGCAGACCACCCCACATGTCGGTCACCTCGTGAGCCAGGTCCAGATATTTTGTTTGCTTGTCTGTTTCGGCTTTCACGAGGTTCTCGTCATACGGAATGGTAATGTCGACCAAAAATATCCTTGACTGTGCCCGGTCCACCAGCACAATATCAGGCTTATTCGCAAGAATAGTCCTGTCTGTGATGATGGCCCGGTCCCAATAGAGCCTGGCGCGATCATTTTCGAGCACGGCTTCCGGCAAGTACTTGTAATACGGCAATTTCCGATCCACGAGACCGTATTTCAGAGCGAGCTCCTGGTTTAGAATTCTGGCTACTAGATAGTGCCTGTGCAAGTACTCAGAGTTAGAAAGCGCCGAACAACCGGAGATAACATGCCTAAGTGACTCACCAGGATGGCGACAAGCTCGACAGATGTCGACGGTGCCATCCTTTAGGATGTATCTCCGATAGTTGTTGGTCTTAATAACCTGATCCTGTATTGCACAGACAAAACCCTCGGTTTCCCCGAAGAGATCACCAAAGCGTAGCCAGTGGAGGGAGGCTACTATGTCTACGAAAGGCTCATGTAGAGCCTTGTAGAACCTCCCGTGGAGCTCCTTCTCCTTCCATACGGTCTCCCGGTCGGAAATGCTCTGCACTGCCGGGACTTGCCATTGCTCGTTGGCTAAGGATAGAGGGGTAAGTCCTTTATCACAAGAAATGACGTCCTTATAGAATGGATCATCCGATCTCGCCAGGAAGTAATCACGGAGGCTGCACACTTCGCGATTATGCATGGTGAGCGCGCTCAAGAAGCCACGACCACCATGCTTCCGCGGCAAGTACAGCCTCATTACCAACGATCTCGGATGATGCATCCTATGGGACGTCATGGTAGTGCGGACTTTTCTATCCAGGGCGTTAAGTTCAGTCTGAGTCCACCTGAGTATGCCAAAGGTATACATGAGGACAGGCATGACCCAGCCGTTATATGCGTGTGCCTTATTCACACCGGACAAAAGGCTGTTAAGCACTTTGGTCAAGCGTGCATAAAACACGTCGCAAACTGACTGTTTCATACCAGTCTCATCGATACCGATGTTTTGTGACATACCCAGGTATCGGTATGTTTCAGCCTCGGAAAGGGTCCTTAAGTTGACGGGCATAGATAAGTCTACGCCCTCAGAGTTAACAACCCTTCCCCTTTCAACATGGAGGACCGCACACTTATCCGTCCCAAGCTCCATTCCAATGGAATTGCTAAATTCACAAGTGATGTTTAGCAATTCCATAAGATGGGAGCGACTGGAGGCGAATAACTTGAGGTCATCCATATAGAAAAGGTGGGTCACTTTTGTCCCTCCTTTCCGTAGCTGAAATCCCCTCCCGGAGCCCTCCAGTAAGGTACTGAGAGGGTTCAGAGAGAGGCAGAACCAGATTGGACTCAGACAATCGCCCTGGAAGATACCCCATTCTTATCCTTATGTGGTTCTCCGCAGCCATCATCCGCTCGCCCAGATGACAAAGGATCGTACTCCACTGCCCCATACACTGCTCGAGGAAGTCTCTAACTGTACAGTCTATCTTGTACAGCTCGAGGACTCTCTTTAGCCATGTATGGGGCACCGAGTCGAATGCCTTTCTGTAGTCTATCCAGGCGGCGGAGAAGTTCCGACGGTTGCGTTTCACCACTTTGCCAATGACCGCGTCAATGAGGAGTGGTTCCTTGGTTCCACGACCACCGCCCCGACATCCATTTTGAGCGCGCAACATCACCTGATTTGAGTCCAGGTGACAAGTTATTCTCGCGCTCAAAATGGATGTTAGTGTCTTGTATATGGTCGGTAGACACGTGATGGGGCGGTATTTGCTCGGGTCTGTGGTACCCTGGTCTTTAGGAACCAAATGAGTGATCCCAGTAGTGATGAGGCTTGGGAGCGACTTCTGCTTGAGAGCCTCTTGAAACTGTCGGGCGAGCACAGAGTGACACACCATGAACCTCCTTCAGCCAGTAGTGATGCAGCCCGTCAAGCCCCGGACTTTTCCAGTTCGGGGCCCTACGGACCGCCTCAGCTACGTCATCCGGCGTTATGATGACGGGGTCCATGGGCGTAATACCCGCACACTGACTCGCCACAACTTCCGTCCAAGGGCCCTCGCTGTGGTTTACGGGCTCTGACCACAGGCCGCGCCAGAATGTTACAGTGTCGGCCTGATTCGGTGCTGGACCCGTTCCACTTACCATTGGTCGCTCCAATGATTCATAGAGCCTCTTCTGATCACTCTGGAAGAACGATTCTGGTTGAACCGTGTCGACCTCTCGGTATATCGCCGAATCCGCTTTCCCCAAGCAGCGATTCTCTGCTTCAGATCATCTATGCGCTCCGTCAGTTTTTGCGTTATATCCGGCTGGGACAAACTGACATTTGTCCCAGCAAACGCCATCCTGACGGTGCGCACAATTCTTGGCCTGTTGTTGCCTGATCTGAAGCATATCAGTCTGCCGATGAGAGCTCTAGCCTTTGCGATACGTTCCTCAATTCTTCTTCTCCATGCTGGGATAGCGCTACTATGGCCAGTAGCGCGTCCAGCCGTGGAAAGCTTGGCGCCTGTGATACGGCAGGTTGCCATCGCGGCGCCAAAAATAATTGAGTCCGTCTCGCAAAGGTCCCGGCTGGCTTCCAAATAGGTCACCAGCATTGGGTTCAGAACCCTCACGACAGCCCGATTCCGCTTGCTTAGGGCTATGCGGGGGAAGTCGCGGTCGATTTTCGAGAGGCGTACTGCGCGTTTCCACAATCGCCTCTTCCAATGTACTCCTCATATGCTCTAATTTTATTTCCTGGGCGACTGTTCCATCATCGTTTGAATCAACCACAACTGGGGTATTCACGGCGGCATCCACGTTTGCGAGTTGCTCTACCATTTGTGGCGCCGCATCCTCAGCTGTAGCATTCTCATCCGACGAGGGAACAGCCTCACGTCGTAGCCGTTCGAGTTCGGCAACATCAAATATATTTGAGCGCAAGATATACCGAACTCGGTCTGCCAGGTTTTGCTCTGTGACGGTTAAAGATGGCTCCAGCTCAGCAAAAAGACGATGCATCCTAGCCCGATACGCCAAACATCCAGATTCTTCCCCTTTTGCCCTAAAGTACGCCCGCAATGTGTTTGCATTCATTGCTTGTGACCAACGCATGAGACATGCTCCACCAGCGGCGGGTGCCGCTTGCTGAGTCCGAGAAGACCCAGCCGACACCAAGCCTTCTGGTGGGGATGATGGATGCGGAGGGCTGCTAGGTGACCGTACAGCTCCTCGCGCTCGGCTGGCGACCCGCATGCTGCCGCGTCCAGCGCCAGCTCCAGACGCGCCCCGGCGACCCCCAGGCAGCGGCCCTTTGCGCACTATCTTCTTATCCATCATCCATTATTTGGGCGTCCATTAACGGGAGACGCCCAGGCCCGGCACCGTTTCGTGTGTAGCCATAAGCACAAACGGGCCTCTGCACCCTAAATTCTGCCGAGGCACGGCGCTCACACCTCTCGCAAGGCGCTGACTGACTGCGTTGACGTAGCAGTTTTGTCACTTAACTGTTACGTCAGCGGGCGATGGGGTCGTCAATTCCCTACGCCTTAATTATTATTATTATTATTATTCTTTATTTCAGAAATTTCTTTCCATAGAGTGGGTTAATAAATAAAATTTAAAAGGTTACGTACTATATTACTATACACTATCTACTTTATATTTACCAGCCGTGCTAGCATGGGCAGGGGATAAAAATTTTATCCGCCGATTATATCCACTGACAAGGGATAAAATTGTCTTATCCCTATGTCAAAGCTTTATCCACCCTGCGACTGGGCCTATGGTGGATATAATATCGACAGTAGATAAACTTATCCCCGCGCATAGATAATATACCTAAAGCTATAAACTATATAGAAGGGCACGTTCAAGGAAACAAAGCGGAACGCCACGAAACTGTGACGCTCCCGCAGTTAAAAATTCGTAAAATGGTACCTAAATAATTATCAGTACTTAGTGTCAAAATTTGCCTATTAACAAGACGCATCTAGTGGTGTAATTTCTTTTAGCCGCAAAACAATTTTTAGTGATTTTTTCAGTGAAAAACCGTTTTTTCTCATATTAGCAAAACAATAAATCGCTTGCGGCGCTCGATTAGTTGCTGCAACCTGCACAACCTTTTTAGTGATTTTGTGCGCCGCTTAGGGATACATCATCCTCCAAAAATTTGGAATTTTTGAATAAAGGACACTTGAGTTATTAGAGGAAAAACGAAAACCACGTGGTTGGTTGTTTCGCGAACCAGGAGTCTGCGGCTGAAATTGAAGGTGTCACTTGCGGCATCTCGGAAAGCTCTATCCGAAAATATATGCATCATCAGCCGGAAGTGTATATCCTCAGAATAACCATACTTTTGCAGCTGGTGTCCCACGTCTTGTAAGTTTGTACTCTAATAACTTTTATTTTTGTGTAACGACCCCCCTTCATTTTTTTTTTGTATATAGAGGACAAACTCATGCCCTTACTATGGGTGTAATTTCAAATTTTTTAGGTAAGCAGTTTTTTAATAGTGATTTTTTTTTGTAAAACGTATCCCTGTTCACCATTCCGTGATAAGTTTGTTTTGCGTGTAGTGGCTAGCTAAACTAAGCACTAGCTCAAAAAAAATGAAATTGCCGTTCAATTTAATAGTTAGGAATACATTTATTTATATCCATTTTACATTTTTTTCTGTTATTATCTTTATTTCATTCCCAACCTGTTTTATTCTATATTTGTTACAACATCTCTGCACGTTGTTAATTTTACATATTAGATTTAGTATAGCTATAAGGTCCACTTTCTTATTATCCTATTTTAATTTTGCAGTCTTCTTTCCATGTTAGAAATTTTACTTGTCAACGCTAATTTAGTTGTAACATCTTATACATATAAGAAAGAAGTGAAATGTAATAACCACTTTATATTTTTAATTTAATTTAGTAGACTTTATATAACTGATAAGTCATTTTTTGTATATTCCTACCTTTTTTCTCTCTTTTAACATTATTAACATAAATGTTTAAATTATCATTTCATGCCTTTCCTTTAATAATGTACAATACATTAAATGTTACTAATACATTACTGTGGCGACTAGAGACTTCTGTAAATAATTAATGTAATAGTACAACCAGTGCGTGTTGCCAGTGATGACTTACGGTTCTGAGACGTGGTCCTTCACTGCTGGCCGTACGAGGACGCTCAAGGTCGCTCAGCGAGCTATGGAGAGGGCTATGCTCGGAGTTTCTCTGCGTGATAGACTCAGAAATGAGAATATCCGCAGTAAAACCAGGGTGACCGACATAGCCCAACTGATTAGTAAGCTGAAGTGGCAATGGGCTGGCCATACAGCTCGAAGAACCGGTAACCGATGGGGAAGAAAGGTTCTCGAGTGGCAGCCTCGTACCAGTAGGCGTAGTGTAGGGCGACCCCCACTAGATGGAGTGACGACCTGGTAAGATATGCAGGAAGTCGATGGATGCAGGTGGCTCAGGACCGTGCTTTGTGGTGTTACTTGGGGGAGGCCTATGTTCAGCAGTGGACTTATGAAGTGATGTAATGATGATGATGATGATGAATTACTGCCATTATAAGAAAATTACAAAATAAATCAAAATTGATGTCTACTCTAAGTCACAAAGATTTAATTTTAATTGAAAATGATGAAGCATGAAGAATAAAAATGTAATGATTTCAAACAAAACAAGTAATAAATAATTTTATAATCATGAGTATTTTTTTTATTGTAGTCACCCCTTAAACATTGAGTTATTGAGTCTCAATAGCTCAATGCCATAATTTAATTACATAGGTTGTGTCAAGAATACCCAAGGCGAGTCCATGGTCAAGTCATATTTAATGATAATAGAATCGGTCTATACTATATTTTAGGTAAGCATAATGATTTAAAATAAAGTTATCAAACTTAGTAAAGTTGCAATTCAAAGATGTAAATTAAGAAATATGTTAATTCTTTAGCAAAGCTTGTTAAATATTTTAATGACTCATATACATAATATTAGGAATACAAATAACATGATACTTAAAAAAATACTCATGATTATAAAATTATTTATTACTTGTTTTGTTTGAAATCATTACATTTTTATTCTTCATGCTTTAAAGTATATTGCTCCCCTCATTCTAATGATGGCCCCAATAATTTAGATCAAGTATTTGCTGATTATTTGTTGTTTGAACAACAGCCATGCCATTGTCTTGACTCGTACCTCTCTAGTAGGTAACTACTATCTGCCAAGAGACTGAAAGATGTGAACTACCTACCTAGAAAAAATATTAAGATAAGTAAGATGTTTTTGGACAAGGTGGTTGTAATAGATGCTTACTTCAATATGCACCGGTAGTTCATCCACAGAATTAATGGGCTTTAAAGCCTCATAAAGTTCTTTACACAAATACAAAACAATCTTTGAGCATCCGAACCCGGCGTAGAAATTCGTTGTCGGATAATTCCAATAGATTAAGGATTCTGATCACGTATCGATCGATGATGTAATTTTCTTTCTTGTTTTTTAATTTCTGACACGAAAATGTAGTTGCAATAGGTTTGAGACATCTTTTTTGTTTTAAAATGGTTTGAAGATAAACTTTAACCCACGTCCGCGAAAGAGGATAAAATTGTCCCTTTCAAATGTCAAAAAGGGATAATTTTTTCTCTTTCCCTTGGCCCCATGCTACGGACGGGGGAGATATATGTCTACTCGTTATGTTAAACGGGGATATACTATAGAGATAAGATAATTTTATCTCTTGTCAGTGGATATAATCGGGGGATATAATTTTTGTCTCGTGCCCATGCTCGCAGGGTGGATAAAACTAAGCAGGGGATAAAAAATTTATCCCTTCCCCGGGGATATATTATCTCCTGCCCATGCTAGCCCGGCAGAGCAGGTCTCGAGCCGATATGGACGCTGTTCCAGTGCCTCAAGATAGGGCAGCAATAGCGACTCCCTATCGCCACCAGGAGGCTGTTGGAGCTATCCCGGACACGGCACCATAGCTGGGAAACTATCTATGCGAGCCTCAGCAAACATTGCCGACGCGCTGCAGTACCGAGGCAGCCCCATCAGCATCCTGAAGCCGTTATTATATTGGACGCGCAGGGTTGTGAGCGTCCTCCGTGTATACTCAACCCATAGACTGCAGGTGTAAAAGGACTGACAATAGGCTCTGAATAGAGTTTTTTTTTAACTTCGAGCGAGCATATTCGCTGTCATAGCTAGAGCCCTGCGTTCCAAATATAATGTTAAGCAAGTTTATACAAAAATTATCACATACATTTCTGATCGTTTAATTATACAGAAACAGATTAAAGTTTTTTTATTAATTTTAGGTCACATAATTGAGACGGATTTCCCACAGAACGAATGATCGTCGTTCGTGAAGTTTTATTACAATTGGTTCAGTCATTTTGAAGATTAAATAGGACAGACAGATAGACGGACAGATATAATAATTGGAAAAATGACTATTAATGTCTTAATGACATCCAAATAACCCCCCACATTTCGATAGAAAACAGTTTTTTCAACATTATACATAGATAGAAGCATAAATTACATATATATGTATGTATGTATGTATAGATAAAATATATTAAGTTAACTAAGTTGGCGGCTCCATGGCACAGTGGCTTAGCAATGTGCAGTGCCAAGGGCCGTATGTTCGAATCCCGCACGCGCCAACTATTTTCCGGGTCTGAATGTTTGTTCTTGTGAAATGTTTGTATATAAACTGCCCCCACGCTAAAGGAGAAAAATCTTGTACAGGTAACTTTATTAAAAAAAATCATAAAACTAATAAAATAATGACAAGTATATTATATTTATATTGTATTGTTGTAATGTTTATAATTTCCAGTGTCACTTACAAAATTATTTGAAGACATTTGAAGTCCGCCAACTCGCTTGCCTTCACTGAAATGACATTTAGGAGGTAATTGGCCAATAAGAGGACGTATAATATACATTATTAACGTTAATGCCTAGTGTTATCTGAATAGTGAATCAATATCGAAGTAAATCTCATAATATCTTCAGTAATGCGTTGCTTTTATGTAATATTCTACTGAAGACAAAAGCGACTTTCCTCGATTTGTGGTTGTTGCCAGACTGTCTGGCGCTCTCATACAAGGTCAGTACACAAGATTCTTGTGAATAAATGGTTAAGGTAACCTTGACATAGAGCCTCTGAAGAAATTTCGGTCGTTTACTGTAACATTGTATCTGAAAGCTACTAAATTTTGCCAAGTATTCAATTTTTTTTGTTACTGAGGCCATTTTCTTATTGATAAAGTCCCCTACGTTCATTTCTTAATTTGTGAATACTCG